GATTGTGCTAATAATGCAACTTTAGGATGAGGATGTTTTTGAAGTAATAGATGTTCCCATAAAAATGATTCTTCAATATGAGTTTCACGTAAATCAATATCAAATTTAGAAGATGCACTAAATGGTGTTGTTTCAAATGGATCAACATCTGGATAACGATATGATGGAATTGCTGGTCGATGAAGTAAATAATGAATTTGAGGAAGTGCATAAAGAACTTTAAGAATAAAGTTTAAAATAATAAGAATTGATCCAGTTGGAGCTTCTAAACAAAGTCTTAATGATTTTTTTATAAAAGCAGCTGAAGCATATAATGGAGTATAAGAACTTATAATATATTTATAAAGTCGATCATAATAAGTAGACATAACAGGACTCAAAAGTAATCGAGGAGTTAATGTAGAATATAATAATTGAATATATGAAGGAACAGTTAAACCATGTTGTACAATAAGATGATGTAAACACATAAGAGAATATGTTTGATATAAATAATTATTTGATTTTGAAAAGTTTAGTAAATAATCATAAAATAATAATGGATCAAATTTAATTGATTTTACTTCAATAGGTGTTGAAACTCCTAATACCATTTCTAATGTTTTTAAGAATTTTAAAGTTGTTTGTTTATTCATTTCGAATGTAATTAATTTATGAAGAGTTGGTAACATTTTAACATTCATAGGAAATAAGTTTAATAAATTTAATGTATTTTCTACAATACATTTTCTTGTTTTTAATTCAACAACTACTTTTCTAATGAATGAATAACCCTATTTTTTTTTAAATTAAAGATAGAGAAGTCAACAAACGGTAAAATATTTAATGTATTCATATTGTTTTTAATAAAACTCTTGAATTTAGTTTTATCTAAAGGGAAAGGAGAAGTTGTTAGGACTTTCTTCAAATCCATGAATATTAAATTTCTTTTTTTTTCATTTTTAGTTTTTATATTTTTAAAAAACAAAACGCAAGAGAATTAATTTTAAACAAATAATTACATAATGATAGAATAAAATTATCAAAAGAGAATTAATAATGTTACTTTTTAATTTAAAAGTGAATTATAAAAGAGCACACTTTGACCTTTGCTGTGGTTTATTCATTAACACAGTTTTAACTGCTTCATCGAAAACTGTCTTTAAATTTTCGCTTGTTTTTGCAGAACATTCAATATATTTGACAGCTTTTATACGATTTTTAAGTTCTTCTCCTTTTGCAGTATTAATAACAGTCATACCTTGTTCTGTTAATCTTTTAACAATAGCAGGATCATTTCTAGTATCAAGTTTTGTTCCAACTAATATAATAGGAACTTTTGGTGCAAAGTGAATAACTTCAGGGTGCCATTTTGTAATTACATTATCATATGATACAGAACTTGTGACAGAGAAACATATTAAAAATATTGAAGCAGATGAATAACTCAATGGTCTCAATTGATCATACTCTTCTTGTCCAGCAGTATCCCACAACGCCAATTGAATTTGTCTTGTGCCTGCAGTTAATGACACAACATAATTATCGAATACTGTAGGAATATAATCTTCAGGGAACTTTCTAATTGAATATGAAATGAGGAGGCAAGTTTTTCCAACAGCACCATCCCCAACAACGACTAATTTAATTGATGTGGGTTTTTCACTCATTGATTTTCTTTCAACTTTTTTTAGTTCTGAGTTGTCTATTATTTCTTTGTTTCATGTTTTTTTCGTTACTTTAATACTTTTCTAGAGTTTCTTTTTTTATGTTTTTTAGTTTTTGAGTTCTTTCTATTTTAAGATTATATTTTTTTTTTTTTTTTTTTTTGTACTAAATAACATTTTCAGACAGAAAGTCAAACAAACTCTCCTTAATCAAAAAGTGATTATTGTTCAACATCACTTCATTCCATCTAATATTTAAACACAATTAAACTAATCTTTATCATGTCAAAAGTATTTACAAGTAAAACTGTTAAAATTACAATCAATCAAGATGATTGTATTGGGTGTGAGGCTTGTGTCCAAAATTGTCCTGTTCAAGTCTATGAAATGATAGATGGTAAGTCAAACGCAACAAATGTTGATAGTTGTTGTAAGACACTTTCATGTGTTTCAGTTTGTCCTGTGTCTGCAATTACAGTTGATGACATCTAATTCAGTCTTACTTTGTTATCTGGTTTATTTGTAATGATTATTATTTGAAGTAAAAAAGATAAGAGTTATTGATAGGTTGAAGAAATAACAACTCATAGAGTCTAGAACTTTACTTGTTTCAGATAATTTTAATTAAATCCTCAAAGTTTTAGATGGTACTGAATAGAACTTTCAATTATTCCTTTTTACAATAACATATTATGTTCTTCCATTTTCCGATATTTGTATATTGAATTTACCAAGGTATTATATGGGTTGTTACTTGATAAAATAAGATAAATCCAAAAAGATGAGAAACAAAAGAACAAAGATGGTGTGTGAATGTCAAAGGATTATTAGGTGTAATAGCAAAGATAATTGTAACATAAGTGTAGTCACTTTAAATAACAAAAAGAATGAAAAACAAGATTGGAAATAACAATACCTAAAAGTATTGAGTTAGAACAACAAAGAATTTGAAGATCAAAAAAATGAATATTGTTGGAGAATTGACTTAATCAACAAGAATGACAATGAAACAAAAAAGGAAGAAGAAAGAAGAATTAATTTTTGTGACAAAAGAAAGAAAAATTGTGTTTTAAAAAAGAAAGAAACAAGAGATAACTATAACAAATTCCTTGAAAATATGAACAATTGAAAAATTAATAAAATTTTTTTAAAATAAAAACTTAGTAAAAAATAGTTGAAAATACAGTAAAAATTGTGTAATAAGAAATAAAGAATTTTTCATAGAAGTAGAAATTCATTGATGAAAAAAACAACTGCTATTTTCAATAAATTAGACTAAGAGAATAAAAGATAGAATCAAACAGTTTTAAGAGAAAAAATAGAAAAAAAAGCTTAGAAATACAAAAACAATGCTTAATATAAAATATCATCAGAAGATTTAAAAGAAGTGAGGAATTGATGAATTGAAAGTATTAGTAGAAGATGTAGAAATAAGTAGAAGCTATACCATAATTGGATTTACCTATGAAGGAGGTATTTAAACTTGTTAATAAGAAATAAAAAAATAAAAACCATAAAGTACATGTCATATCAATTCCATTCTACTAAAAGCCATCAAACAGAAAGTAGTATTGAAGCTGACTTTCATTATGAAACTACACATGTAGAAGTAAGTAAAGAAGGAGTTATTTGTACTCCAATTGCTAAAGACTACAAATTTAAAGTAGATAAAAAGATTCCAAAGATGGGTCTTATGATGATTGGATGGGGAGGAAATAATGGAACTACTGTTACTGCAGGAATTCTTGCTAATAAACACCATCTTTGTTGGACTGATAGAAGAGGAGTTCATGAACCAAATTATTATGGATCATATACTCAATCAGCTACAATGAGACTTGGAGCTACATCTGAAGGAGAAGAAATTTATGCACCATATAAAGATATTTTACCATTTGTTTGTCCAGATAATATTGTTGTAGGAGGATGGGATATTTCAAAAGTAAATATGGCAGATGCACTTAAAAGAGCACAAGTAGTTGATTATGATCTTCAAAGACAATTATATCCATATATGAAAGAATTAGTTCCATTACCATCAATTTATTATAAATCATACATAGCAGCAAATCAAGATGATAGAGCTGATAATGTTATTCCAGGAACTAAACAAAATCATCTTGATACAGTAAGACAAAATATTAGAGATTTTAAAGCACAACATGGACTTGATAAAATAGTTGTTTTATGGACTGCTACAACAGAAAGATATGTAGAAATAAAAGAAGGACTTAATGACACAGCAGAAAATTTATTAAAATCTATTGCAGCAGGAGAAGAAGAAGTATCACCATCAACTATTTTTGCAACAGCAGCTATTCTTGAAGGATGTCCATTTGTTAATGGATCACCACAAAATACACTTGTACCAGGTGTAATTGATTTAGCAAATAAACATGGAGGTGCTGTTATGGGAGATGATTTTAAAACAGGACAAACAAAAATTAAATCTGTTCTTGCAGATTTTCTTGTATCATCAGGACTTAAATTACAATCAATTGTATCATATAATCATCTTGGGAATAATGATGGAAAGAATTTAAGTTCACCATCACAATTTAGATCTAAAGAAATATCAAAATCAAATGTTGTTTCTGATGTTGTTAAATCTAATAATATTATGTATAAGGAAGGAGAACATCCAGATCATGTCATTGTTATTAAATATGTTCCATATGTAGGAGATTCTAAAAGAGCTATGGATGAATATACTTCAGAGATTTTCTTAGGAGGACATAATACAATTGCTCTTCATAACACTTGTGAAGATTCTCTTCTTGCTGCTCCATTAATGATTGATCTTGCTGTTTTAATGGAATTTATGACTAGAGTCACTTACTCTATTGATGGTAAAGAATTTAAAAACTTTAATTCTGTAATGTCTATGATTTCTTATCTTCTTAAAGCACCCGTTGTACCAAAAGGTTCTCCAGTTATTAATGCTTTATTTAAACAAAGAGAATGTCTTGATAATTTCTTTAGAGCACTTCTTGGACTTCCATGTGATAATCATCTTCTTCTTGAAGGAAAGACTGAACATTTCTTTTAATTATTAAAGTTTAATCTAATTGAATTAAAACATTTTGATATATTATTTATTTTGTTCAATTCCTTTAGAATATAATATATATACACTAAATATTTAATTCATAATTCCAAGAGATTAAAAATAATGAAAATAAAAAGATAAGAGAGTGAATTTCTTTGTATATTTTTCTACAAACAATAATTATAAGAAGGGAAAAAATTAAAAAAAATGAAAGAATCAAAGAGTAATATTTCTGGTTAATAATTCATAGTAAAAGAAATTCAAAAGAATGAAGAAACTGAAAAAAAGAATTAAGTTTTATCTTTATGTCACAATTACCTCAAAAACCATTAATTGGAAGAAGACCATTTACTATGGTTGAAAGTTCACATGCAAATTTAACAGAAGGATTAGAAAGTCCTTCTGGTATAAAAACAGAACATACAGAAAATTCAAATTCAGGAAATACTGACACCCACTCTAATGGATCAGTGGAGATAAGCGATAAATTAACACAAAGAATTATTCAATTAGAAGAAATTGTTCATAATTTAACTGAAGAAAATACTCGTCTTCAAGAACAAATTCATAAAATGCCACGAACACCACAACAAATAAATAAAGAGTTTGAATATTTTTGTACTCAAATGCCAATTAGAGGAGGAACATTTATTACAGGACAAATTGATACAAGAACAACATTTATTCAAAGAAAAATTACAATTAATTTTCCAACAGAATTTCCTGAAGAACCAGCTGTATTTGTTTTTCATTTATCTGTTACAGGAACAAGTAGTAAAGTAACAAATATTGTTAAAGATGTTTCAGGGTTTACAGTTGATTTTGGAGGAGCAATTAAAGATGTAGCAACAATATTTTGGATTGCATATCTTCCAATTAAAGTGAAAAGCAAATTTATAGAATTAATAAATACATTAAATAATTCCAATACTATGACTTCAAAACAAATAGAAAATACTATTTCAACTTATATTAAAAAACAAGGAGTTCAAGATGAAGATAAAGATGGAAATACCTTACTTCATCACTTAGTTTTATTAAATGAACCAAAAATGGTAGAATTAGTTTTAAACAAAGGAGCAAATGTTAATGCACTTAATAAATTTAAATATTCACCATTACATACAGCATTAAGTCAAAATGAAATTAATATAGAAGTTGTTTCTAAATTATTAGAACATCATCCAGATATTCATATTAAAAATGAAACAATGAGAACACCATTACATTATTTATGTAGAAATAGACATTTAGAAAAGAATATTTCAATATTATATAGATTAATATCTAATGAAAAAGATCCTAAAACATATATTAATGAAATATCAAAAATTGGTGAAAGTTCATTGACATGTGTTTGTTCAGCATCAATGAATGAAGAAGCAATTAAATATCTTTGTGAAAATGGTGCAAATGTTAATCAAGTAACAGAAAGTGGAACATTTCCACTTTATTATGCTGTAAAAAATAAAAGAACAGATATAGTACAAATTTTATTACAATATGGAGCTGATATTGATATGACATTTAAAGGAAAACCAGTTATGAAAATAGCAGAAGAAACTGGACAAATGGAAGGAGTAGTATCTTTAATTGAAAATAAATATTCATTAACAATATTAAGTAATGAAGAAATTCAACAAAAACAAGATACATTTGATACACCAAAAAGATTAATTGAAACATGGACAAATACTACAACTCAAAGTAAAATTATTCTTGTTGATCAAAATACTCTTCCTGATTATCATATTGAAAATTATTATACATCATGTACTCATAAATATGATGAACTTATGAATAAAAATTATCATGATGTTACACTTCCAATTAGATATTATCAAAATTTTATTAAACCATTTCCACATTGTCATTATTGTATTTTAAAAACAGACATTCATACAGGTACAAAAGAAAATACTATTATTACAATTAAACAAGACTCTAATGATAAAAAATTTATTGTATGGACTAAAAGATCAACAATTAGAAAAACAGCACCAATAGGAGTAAATGATATTCAAATTTTAAAAGAATTTGGATATAAAGGATCAAAAGCAACTCCAATAACAATACCTGACATAAATAATAAAATAGAAAAATTTGAAAATTATTTTATCATTAAAGATTATAAATTTGGAGTATTATATGCTACAGAAGGACAAACTCTTGAAAGTGAATTGTTTAATAATAAAATTGGAAGTAAACATTTTGAAAAATTCCTTGAGTTGTTAGGAAAGAAAATTAAATTACAAGGATATAATGGATTTGCTGGAGGTTTAGATACAAAATATCAATTAACAGGAGAATATTCATATGTAAATTCTTTTTCAAATGACAAAGTTTCAATTATGTATCATATTGCACCTTATTTACCATGGTCTGATAATAATCCACAACAACTTGATAAAAAGAAACATATTGGAAATGATATTGTTGTTCTTATTTTTAAAGAATATAGAGGAAAACCAGAATTAATTGATATTTCATCATTTAAAACACAATTTAATCATGCATTTATTGTTGTTGGATATGATTTAAATCAACCAGAAAATGAAATCCCAAAATATAGTGTAAATGTTATGTGTAAACATGATATTTCACCTATTCCACCTTTTATTACTACTGATCAATATACACATTCACAATTATTTTCAAATTTCATTATTTCTAAATTAATTAATGCAGAAGTTGCTTCAAGAGAATCATCTCAATTTAGAACAAAGAATGTAATGATTAGAGGTAAATTATTAAATGAAATGATGGAAGGAAATTGATTTTTGTTTTATTAATTTTTATTTTACTTAACATAATAATTATTTTTTATTCTGTTTTTTTTTTTTTTATTATTGTTCATTGTTAAAAGAACTTTTAAAAAAAAATTCACTACATTTATTCATATTAAAAAGTTAATAATGGATAGTGAAAGTATTGAGTCTATTGAAAATTTTAAAGAATTTAAACCTATATTACAACAACAAATTCTTGATAAAGAATTAAAATTTATGGAAGAGGTAAGACAAAATCATGAAGCATTTAAAGATCTTGATTCCAATTTATCATTTCTTATTGAATGTGTTGATTCACTTAAAAAACGAGTTGTTGAATTATCAAATGAATTAAATCAAACATTTACAGGATTTCAAAATCTTCATGGAGAAGCAAAGAAAATTAATCAATTAGTTGAACAAGACAAACATGCACATATGTTAATTTGTTCATTATTAACTAAATGTATTCCACCACCTGAATTAATTCAAAGATTATTAACTACTCCTGTTGATGAAAAATATGGAAGAGATTTAACACTATATCATCAAATATTAGTTAGTTTTGAAGATATGAAAGAATTATATAAAGAATCACCTATTATTAAATTATGTAAAGAATATCATAAACATACAACACAAATTATTTGTCAAAGAATTTATGAAGTTATTTCAGATAAACTTAATAAATTATCACAATCAAATCCAATTATTCTTCAACATTTATTAGCAAATAATTATTCTATTCATTTTAGATTTTTAATGTATTATTCAGAAGAAAATTGTGTTTTATTAAGAAATAATCATATGGAAACAATGAAAATTTTATTACTTCAATATTTTCAATGTTATACAGAAGAATTACTTAAATTAAAATCAAATAAACCAATTTCAAAAACATTTGAATTGATTGAATATTTACCTAAAGAAAAAAAGTTTAATCCATGTACTGAAAAAGAAAAAGATGTTATTGGAGCACTTAATAAAATTAAAACACGAATTGATATTCAAAGAAATATTTCAAATCTTGATGATCAAATAATAATTCCTGCTATTCAAAATGATACTAAAGATAATAAATTTGAACTTGAAACAATTATTGATAGTTTATATCGTGTTTTATTTGATACAATTGCTAGTCATGTTGATTGTTATTGTAGATTATATCGGAAATTAAATATTGATAATTCTCAAATGATAAATGAAGTAAATGATATGGTTAAAATAGTATTTGAACCAATTTTTCAATATTTAATGCAAACAATTATTGAACGATTAATTATTTATCAAAACCTTGATAGTTTTTCTTATTTCATTTATTTAAGAGAATTTGTTAATTGTCAAAATTTTATTGATAAAAATTATAATATTTTAAATGGTGTAATACCTTTAAGAGAACATCTTAATACTGTTACTCAATTAGTTATTACAAAAGTAAATTTCTTATTAAATAATACAATTATATTTGTACAAAATGCTTCTAATCAACCTAAAAAAGAAAAAAGTCCTATTCATTTATTAACAAGAAAATATGCACAATATAATGCTTTATTACATTATGCTCATGTAATTCATTATTATCAAGATTTAGAAGAATTACAATGGAAATTTAGAACAAGTATTGAATCATATATTGTTAAAACATCTGCATTTGAAAATAATAATGCTGAAATTAATACTGTTTTTAATGAATTTCTTAATATTGTTTATATTACTTGTTTCTTAAAAGAACAAGATGAACAATTTATGAAATCACAAAAAGATATTCATGACTTATCTATCAAAGAAAAACAAACAATGAATGTTGATATTTTTAATTTTCAACATAATTTAGAAATGAAACGTGAAACATTAGGTAATCTCCTTGTTGAAAAATTCTTTTTCTTTCTTCTTGAAACAATTAATAGAGTAAAATCATTTGAATATAAGAAAGATCAACATGGTGTAAATGAAACTGAATTAACTCAATTCATTGACCATTTAAGAGGATTTGTTCCAACATTTAAACAAAAATGGATTATTAAATTAAAAGAAATGATGTTATTTACTGTTGAAATAAGTGAAATTAAAGATAAAACTATTGAATATTGGAATGATGTAGAAAAAGAAATTCATACTGAATTACAACGATATGTTTTAAAATACTTTTTAACTTTATGTGAAGATTTTGATAAAAAATTAAAAGGAGATTTAATTCCATCTGAAAATCGTTTGGAATTAGTTCGTGGATTTACAACATTTGCTGCAATTTATGCTGAAGTTACAAAATATATGGAAGCAATTCAAAAAGGAATTTCATTTTCTTCAATTAAATAATTTACTAATTCCATTATTATCAATTTTTTTATTGTTTTTTTTATTGTTTTTTAATTTAAAAATTTCTTCTTTTTAATATCATTTTTTCATTCATTTAAAAAATTAAATTTTCAGTTACATCCACTTAACTTAAAATTAAAAATTATGAAAACTACAATTAATTATCCTACTACTGTTATTTCTGAAAAAGATTATGAATATACTATTAAATTATTATTTGTTGGTGATATTTCTACTTTTCAACAAAGAAAATCATTATTATGGCAAACTTATGTTTGTTTTATTTCTTTATTACTTTGTTTTATTCTTAACAACTACTTACTATTAGAAAAGAAATTTAAATTCTCAAAATTTATCTAATCTTCCTCTTCAAGTTTGTTTTCATATTATATTTTATTATATAATTTAATATTAATTATTGTTAGACTTCATCTACAATTGAAATTAATGGGAGAATAGGCAAACTTATATGTAGTACTTATGATAATTTTGTTGGGCGAGAAACAAGTTATTTTCCTTTTAAAGGAATTAACATTTTATGTGTTGTTTTTGATTTCTCTAATGATTCAATTAAAAATATTGGTAATTGGATAGAAGAAGGAAAAAGGTTTAGTGGGAACAAAAAAATGAATATACTAATTATTGGGTTATATGATAATTTATTAAACTCAACTAATACACCAACTGAAGTATCTGTTTGTTTATTTAATTTAGTAAATGAAAATAAAATAATTATAATGGTTTTTAGGATATTCTTCTCAAAGATACTACTATTCAATTTTATACTTACAATAAATCTACAACATTAAATTTACTTAATGAACTTGAACAATGTTATATACAAATTAGGTTGAATGATTTAACAGATGATGTGATGTTTGTTGTCTACAAATAATAATTGGTTTATATTTATTGTTTTAGTGATAAACAAATTGCAAAAGAAAGAGAATATAAACAAAGAAGAACAATTTCACAAACTGGTGTTTTAAGTAAAACATTTTCATCACCACCAATGAATCAAGGAGATAAAAAACGTGCACTTATTGTTTTTAATAAATCAGAAATAGTCATTACTATTAAAACTATCATTGTAGGTGATTCTTGTATTTCTGATTTTTCAAGAAGATTATGTACTGGATTATCTCTTGATTGGAATACTTCATTTAGTCTTTATTCTTTTGATAATTATCCACCAAAATTACTCCAACTTGATGATGGAAAAACTTTAAAATTAAGAACATATGTTTATGATCATTCATTTAGAAAAGGTGCATCATACACACCATATTTTAATGTATTAGGAGTAATATTATGTTTTGACTATCAAAAGTCAGATACATTTGCAAATCTTATGAATTGGTATAATGAAACTCTAAGATACTGTAATCTCAAGTCAACTCATTATATTATAGTTGGATTTAATAAGTCAAATAATTCTACAGTCACTGATGATGACGTTCAAGGTTTTGTGAATTTCTTTCCAATGAATAAAAGACCTCGTTTTTTCTATTTTGAAGAATCTAAAACACATGAATTTGACTTATTATTTGAAGAGTTTTGTCTTGAAATTAATGCAATGGAATTTTCACAACCATATCTGTTTGTTTGTTTGATTATTCATTTACTTGAAAATTAATCATTTTTAGTGATGAATGTAAACCACAAAAAGAAGATGTTTCTAAAACTCGTTTACAGTCTGGACGTTCTCAAAGAACTCACTCCTGCGCTCCAACTCCTCAATTCACTTCATCACATAAACCAGATGAGTCAAAAACATTAATTAAACAAGCTCAGTATAAAAAAGAGAAAGATTGTGTTTTATTTTAATTAGATTAGTTTGGTAATAAATTCTTGTATTTGTTTAAATATTTCAATTAAAGCTATATTTCAAAACGCTCAAAGAAGAAGTTGAAGCAGTAACAAAACAAGTAAACAACTAATTACATTAGCTTCACTTCTTTGGTTCAAATTAACTTCTTCTACACACTTTCCATAATCATTACATGTAAACCCAACACGACAAACACCACAAGAAGGTGAACATCCAAAATTAAATGGAACTTTACGTGAAAATTGATTAGTTATTGTACATTCAGTGCCTAAACAATTAAAAGAAACAGAATTACATTCTGTTTGATTTAACATTTTAGCCTCTCTCACTAATTGAGCCGAAACTAAGTTAAGTACTGTTCCTGGAGGAACTTTGTGAATAAGTTCAATCGTATTAGAAAACAGTTTATTAATTCCAAACAAGGACATTCTTAATTTAATAGTTTTTTCTAGTCTATTAAAGTAATACTTTGTTGGTAAATTAAGTTGTGTAGGTGAACAATAATCAAAAGTATATTTTACTACATTTTTACAATGCCCAGTGTTTGCAACAACAAATTGATAATCCGATGAAGAGGTTTCAAATTCTATCTCAAAATAAGCAAAATCTTGATTTAACATAATTACTGTTGGATATACAAATACCATTGATAAATTTGATGTTTTACCAACAAATTTAATTTCTTGAGCAGAATTATCAAATTCAACAATTGTTTTATCTTGATTCCATTGTACAATTTGCCACGTTAATAATGTGCCATGATCTTCTCTACTACCTCTGAAAAAAACATTTTTATCAGCCATAAAATTGCAATCAACCATATCATAATTTACAAATCGAGCAGTACTCATAAATTTATCTCCCCTCTTCAAATTAACTTTTGGAAAATCAATCTTCTCATTATCAAAAGCGATGAGATGAACAGCAACATCACTATCAAAAAGTGGAACTAAAAAGGTATTTTCTGGGGTCATATCATAAAAAATATTATTAACTGCAATCTTTTCTGGATTTCTATTGAAATCAGTAAATTGAATTGTTGCTGTTGTGTCATTCCTATTAAGTACATAGAGAGTAGGACTTATTCTTAAATCAAAGTATGTCTCTGATAATGTAATTTGAGTTACAATACTAGCACCTTCATCAAATCCACCTGTTAATGTTAGAAAGATGTTTCTTGGAACACCAATGAATGAGTATTGATTTGAAGTAGAAACACCAGAGACTTTTAAATTTTCTGACCCAGCTACCATACAAACAATAGGTTTTTGACTTGGTCCTACTAATTGGAGCCACTCTCCACATCTACTAATATTATGATTCCCTTTTTGAACATAGAAATTATTTTCATCAACAAAACAATAAGACTTGATGTTATATCCATGAACGTTTGTTCTATAATCAGGAATTTTATCATAACACAAGGTACGACTAATTGTTTCAACATTTGTTGGTGAATCAATGTTGACTGCGACAAAATTAGTCATACAAACAGAGTGGAGAGTAGTTGTTTTACCATTTACAATGATGAAAAACAATGGTATAGCTAACAGATACATGAAATTGATGTGTTAGTTTCAAAACAGTATTTATTCAAAAATTCCATAAAACGAAAAAAAGAATAAAATAGAATGAATAAGTTTGGTAGTGTATATTTTTATTCCTAATAGAATAACCACAGGATTATCATTTGTTTGAACCCAACTCATTATTCAATGTATAAATAAAAAAAAAAGAAACGAAACGTTAATTTGGGTTCTGAAACAAAACAAAAATGGTGACTTGCCGCCTTGGGTATTAAAATAATCCTATTTTTAGATACGTTCCTTCAAAATAGGTGACAATATATTAGAACAGACACACTTTAAAACCCCAATAATGACGTTAACATAAAAGAATATTTTCGTTATTTGATGGATTGCTATTAGATATAAATTATTCTTAATATTTTTACATTACAATTTATTCTTCATGAAATTTCTTTAATTCCATTAAATTACATAACAACTTCATTCAATCAGAATTTATTGTTTTGAAAAGAATCATTTAGTTAATGTCTTAATGTCTTAATCTGTATTTCTCTTCTATTATACTCTTTAAATAGATTGCTCTTCATAAATAATTTCATGAAAATAATTGTTATTCATTAATAAATACATGAAAATTATTGTTATTTATACTCAAGAAAATAAAGAATAATGAAAGAAAGATTAAAAGAAATTGAAAAAAACACATCCATAAGTATTTAATGTGTTATTACAACTATTGGATGAAGGAAAATTTACAAATGGTAGAGGAAGAGCAGTTGATTTTAAGAATATGGCTGTGATTATGACATTAAACTTATGAAGTGAAATAATAATGAAAGGAATCGAAACATCGGGATAAGTGAGTGGGAAAGTCAAAGAAAGTATAATGGAAATAATGAAAAAGTCATTTAAACCGGAATTTCTCAATAGGTTGGATGATGTTATAGTATTTTCGCCACTTTCAGAGAAAGAATTGAAAGAAATAGTTAAATTACAATTGAGAAAATTGAAACATCTTTTAGATGTATTTGTTTTACTTGATTAAATGAAACAACAATCCATTAAACATATTATTTTTTGTTATTTTCTTTCAACAAAACTAATTTGTTGGTTTAGTTGTGGGAAAGTCATTAGTTATTTTAGAATGCATAGTAGTTAATTATCACATGTTCGTTTATTGACTAATGACAAAGGGTATTTCTTTTAAGTAATTTATTACAAGTTCATAACTGAGTATTAAATAATAGACTCATTGTTTTCTCAACAAACATAATTCAAACATTAAGTTCAATAATCAGATTATTTGAATAATTTATTGATATCTGGAAGTTATCTAAAAATAGCTTTTTGAGTAATAAAAGAAATAAGTGTCTGTGTCAATTTCAACAACTAACATCTACTATTGGTATGTTAATTTCCTTTCCAATTCTTCTTTTTGATTTGTTTCTTTTTAGTATAAACAATCAATATACCAACTAACTCAGTTAAAGTGAATAAACATAAACACTAAAATAAAGTATAGTAAATAAACAAGTTATAACAATTCGATTTAATGTTGATACTAACATTCTTAATTATTTTAACAATAGTATTGATAAGTTAATACATTGTTTATGTGTTAGTGTCAATAAATTCATTATAACAACTAACATTGTATTGGATATTTATCTTAGCAAGACTGAATATACATCTATTGCTATTTGCTATTTGTATATTATTTTTTATATTAACTCAGTTTTGTTTTGGTTCTTTTTGTTCACTACGACTTATTATATATTATTTTGTCAGAGAATTTATTATAAACAACATTTTCATACTAATCCATCAAATACATCACTATTCTTTGAAGTATTGTTATTTTGCATTTATAACATAGTTTATATTATTAAACATTAACATAGTAATTACAACATTGAATAATTTAATGACTTAATACTCATTCATGAATAACACCATCTTCTTTTTGATAACAATAGTTAAAGTAAACACCACCATATTTTACATGAAAATGAATTATGTGGTATAAGAAATGAATGTCATGATTGAAGATAATTGTATTATCATGATGAATAAAAGAAGTGTTTGATGGAAAGACTATATTTTCAATTGTAAAATTCAATTTATTCAAACATTCTTTTACTTCTTCATGAATTATCAACAAAATATAAAACACTATGTTGTTGATAACAAACTGTTCATACAAATTAAAAATATATCATCCCATATGAAATAACCAACAAATACTTAATTATTTGAATTAAAAATGATGCTATTAAATCAACACTAAATGAATCAAATGTATTGTTAATTAAATAATATTTCATTCAAATAATAATCTCTGTTTTATGTAATTGAAATGGTGATTATATACATACAAGTACTACATAAATTCTAATAAATCTAACAACTTATATCATAACTATGTATATTTTTGATATT